CTCACATCAAAATCCACCCACATATTTGTTTAGAGCCGTTTAAACGGTGCTTGATCTGTGCAGATTTCTCTCCTGATTCAGACCAGAACACTTTTTCACTGGAGGAAGCGTTATTACGGACTCGTGTTTTAGTTAAAAACGACTTCATGATGGATTTGTTTCAGCTTTTGTCTTCTCCAGATGTTAACTGATGGACTGGAGCGGTGTGGATTACTTGTGGATTATTGTGATGTTTTTATCAGCTGTTTGGACTCTCATTCTGACGGCACCCATTCACTGCAGAGCATCCATTGCTGAGACACTGATGCAATGCTACATTTCTCCAAATCTGATGAAGAAACAACCTCATCCTAATCTTGGATTGCTTAAGAGGCCTAGGAATTTTACATTAAAGACAACACAGATTAATTTAATAAGGTAATTATTTAAAAAAAATTGCTGCACAGCACAAGTAAAAAAAAATGCAAATATTGCTCCGTAATGGAAAAGCTAATTTCTGACCCTGCTGCATACTCTCAAAAATAGTATGCAATAAATATTTCAAAGCAAATCAATCGCTACACCATATACACAGGCTGTCTAAACAGACATTAACAAAAGTGAAGTGAACCGCTCATCTGGCGCAGCTTCAATCGTGATCTAATTATGATATTATGATGCTCTGCGGCGTCTTGAATCGTGACGTCTTCACAATACCAGCCCTTCGGCATACTGCAGAAATCAGTATCAGTGCGCCAGAGAGGAGGCGGAGGATGAGATGAGCGACACAACAGTCAGACTCGTTTTAATGCGCCGCAAGAGCAGTTATAATTCTTCAGTCTGTCCCGCTGGAAAATCAATGCGGAGAAACTTCTGGCATCACGACCATGACAGCCAATTCACTTACGGCCATTAAGACTTTACAGAGGCCAGCCAAAACCGAGTGCAAGAGTTAAAGATGAGTCTCGACTCAGCAAAAACAGACACGCCTGCATTCAGTGGAACACGTTTGATTAATAGGAGTGATTGCATTAAGTAATGAAACGCAGGATAAATGATTATTGGATCAGAACAGAACCATCCTGCTCTGAATTAACTGTGTTTTATGCAGAAGATAAGTGAGGTTTATTCATCCAAAACTCTACTGTGAGTCAAAATACAAAGATTACATACAATAAATATATTAATTTATTAACCAAATTTAATTTTCAGTTATGGTTTCGGCTTCCAATGGTTCCACGAAAATAATCGTGATTACTTTGATGCATTACATTCGCAATGATACTCTCGTTTTGTCTTATGTTACAAATCAAGCATTAAAATGTATTTATATATTATTATTCTTTTTTTTTTTCATTTTTGACTGAATATTTTGGAAATGAACTCTGGAAGGTAAATATAAATAATGGAATTTTTAACAATGAAACTGAGTGTGAAATGGTTCCAACTGAGGTTCAGCTCCCAAAAATGCAAGCCCTGAAAATACAATGCATTAAAATACAAGCAATGTTAATGCAATGCATTTTTTCAATTAGTGAATTAGTTCATATAAAAAAAAAAAATTTAATAATAATAAAACAACAAAAATAACTATATTATTTACAATGCAATGCAAACAATGTTAATGCAATGCATTTTTTTTTCAATTAGTGAATTAGTTCATATTTAAAAGAAAAATTATAATAAAACAACAAAAATAACTATATTTATAATGCAATGCAAGCACTGTTAATGCAATGCCATTTTTTCAATTAGTGAATTAGTTCCTAATAAAAATAAACAAAAATAACTATATACAGATCATTACCACAAAATAAAATTTCTTAACCCGTGAAATAAGATTATGGTCATATAACATACAAAACATACAACTACAAAAAGCAATACAAATTCAGAAGAAAAATCCAGATGATTATTGATTTGACTAAAAATCCACTAAATATTCCCTTTCAGAAAGGGCTGGGGTGACAACGGAATCAAAACAGGAAGTTGAAGTGAAAATGTCCCAGATTTAAGGTCAGTTACAGTAAGTATTTCAGAAAAGTTCAATATATGTGATTCATCACATGACACTTGAATCATATTGCGGCTGTTTGGGAAATTGTTGATAGCAAGAATCTCTGGTTTGGCTGCTGTGAGGCATTGGAGAAAACGTCATCCGCATTATAAACCAACCTGACGCTCTTTAAAGGAATAGTTCACCCAAAAATGAAAATTTGCTGTTAATTTGCTCACGCTCAGGCCATCCAAGATGTAAATGTGTTTGTTTGTTCGGCAGAACAGTAAAGAAGATTTTTAGCTGAAACCGTGCGCCTTGGTGATTCATAAAAGTCGATGGCTACCGTCACTTTAAGAGTCAAAAAAGCATATACAGGCAACACAAAATTAATATCCACGGCTTCTGATGATATACTGAGGTCTTATGAAGCGAAACGATCGCAGCTGAATATTATTTACAACATTATTACCTGTAATCCAGAGCCTCAGGCTAACGGGGAAATCTGATTCTTTTCTGTGAACTGATTCTTTCGGACAGTTCGTTTCAATGAACTGGTTCAAATAACTGATTCACCAGTTCGTTTCCGTGATCATGCAATGACGTAACGTATAAACAATTATATTATTAAAGCACCCAATGATGATGATGATGATGACTTGTAGATCTGTGCTGCTCGAGGCATGAACTGTTTCAGACGGTTCAACTAGTTCACTAAAAAGAATCGGTTCAAAAGAATGATTCATTCACAATCTGATTCGTTTGCTTGAGGCTCACAGGTAATAGTGCTGTAAATAATGTTCAGTTTCTTGCACAGACTGATCGTTTCACTTCATAAGACCTTAATATATATCGTCAGGAGCCATGAGTATTAATTTTGTGTTCCTTGTTTGTTTTTTTTAAAGTGATGGCAGCCACTGAATCACCAAGAACCACGGATTCAGCTAAAAATCTTCTTTACTGTTCTACTAAAGAAAAAAAGTCAACTACATCTTGGATGGCCTGAGGGTGAGTAAACTAACAGCACATTTTTTTATTTTTGGGTGAACTAACTAGTGGTCGACCGATATTGTTTTTTTGACAGCCGATGCCGATATCTTGGAAAGCAGGGTGGCCGATATAAAGCCAATATAATTTTATTTATTTTAATTAATATTTAAGAAATTTGAAATCATTTGAAAATTGATTAAAAAATAATAAAAAATAAATGTGTTAAATAAACATACCTATACTTTAGATGACAAAGTATTTTTCACAAATAAATAAATATTTAATAAAAATATAATTAAAAAGGAAGTAAACACTGTAACCAACAGAGCACTCAGTATTCTGGGAAGTTTGTGTGCATTAATCATATTTTTTCAAATGAAGCCAAGGTAACACTCATTTTACATACAGCACACAGTTAAAATGACATGAATATGGCAGTGGGCAAATGCATAAAGCGCAGCATAATTTGAAATCACGAGTTTAAAGTTTGTCGATCGCGCAACCTCCAGTGAATCATGCAGGATACAAATGCACACTTCACAAGATCTCACAACTGGATCCGACTAAGTTTGCAAGGTTTTTGAAATTAGATGTTTATTAGACATTCAAAGATTGGTTTAAATGATACAAATGCTGACGGCAAACAAGAAAGTATTATAATGTTTGCCTTTCTATTACTAATAACATAAAAGCAATCGTTATAAGACTTTTTGTATACATTTTAATTCCTTTGTTGAACCGTTCTATCTGATTATTAGACCGACTTCTATCCATATTTAGACAGAACTGTTAATGACAACAGTGAACAAGAGGGAGAATGTGAGCACTGTGTGCTCAGGCGCTGCCACTCTCAGCTCCGTCAAAATAAAAGTCTGTCGCACCGTCAAAATAGTCCCGCCTCGATGCATCGGCCAAACAGAAAACTTATCGGTCAATGCCGATATTTAAAAAATGCCAAATATCGGCCGATATATCGGCCTTGGCGATATATCGGTCGACCACTAGAACTAACGCATTTCTGCAAGCCAGCAGACAGTTTCATCCGTTAGTGAAGCGTCTGATTGAGAGGATGTTGGCTTCGGCCCTCGAGGGTGAGAATGCATTTTAAGACAGAAACTAATTACAACATGTATGCAGTAATTATCTGACAGAGAAAAAACTTTTAAAGGATTCAATGGTCTAAAACTGAGACTGGAAACTTCAGGATAAAAAGAGATGCTTGGCTGAAACATTTACAGCTTCACGTTTGTACTTACAGTTTTTAATGCATTTTTTAAAAATGTGTTTTTCTACAAGGAAACGTTCCTCACCGATATTACCCCAAATAACAAAACTGATTACATACAATAAAGCAGCAAAATTAAATATTGAACAATAAAATAAAACCAGAACAAAATAATACATAAAAACTCAAAATAAAAGTTTGGTTTAACTTCCTGTACTTCTTAAAGTAAAGGTAATAATACAAATATATAATATAATATAATAATATTAAATTTTTTTAATTATATTTCATAAATATATATATTTAAATATTGTAATACTTTTAACAGTAAACATCTGGTGTTTTGTTTGCCAAAAAAATAAAAGGAATTGTTAAATTTTTATTTGATTATATTTTAAAAGATTAATTAAATTGTTAATGTTTTATGCATTTGATTACCACTGTTTTTGATTAATTCGTATTAAACCATAAATCCAGAAAAGTTAAAACAGACAAAACAGAATTTCTGAAAAAATAAAGCCCATCTATTAAGGTCCTCCTATTGTACAACTTTTAATAAATTATTAAAGTTTCATGAATTCAATTTATTAGACATGCTTTTTGATTATTAAAATGTATTGAAACCATTCTAACAGAATCCAGAAAAATTAAAACAAAACGCAGCATTTGGGAAAAATAAAACAGAATCTGGGGGGAAAAAAAAAACTGATTTCATAGGGCCCTAAAAATGTCGTTTTTGTTAAACTTTTTATAAATTATTGCTAAATTGTATAAAATGCATGATTTCAATTCATTAGGCATGCTTTTTGTTAACTAAAATTTAATTCAACCATTAAAATGGCATTAAAACAGAATCCAGAAAGATTTAAATAAAAAAAAAAAACAGAATTTGGGAAAAAATTTTACTAAATTTGATAAATAAAATTTAATCTAACGATTAATGAATAACGTTTAATAAATTGCTAAATTGTATAAGCTTCATGAATAAAATTTTTGATAACTAAAATTTAATTTAACCATTAAAATGGAAATAAAATGGAAATGTGGAAAAAATTAAAATGGAATAAACGGAATTTGAAAAAACCTAAAAATTATTTTCTTTTGGTATTTTGATATTTTTGTTATTATTTCAATTAATAAAACATGCTTTTTGATAACTAAAATTTAAAATTATTTTAAAATTTTATTTTAAAATTAAAAATTTGAAACAAATGAATACAAGAACATTTGGGGAAATGCTCTGGGAAAAAATAAAATGGAATTTGGGGAAGAAATAAAACAGAATTCATAGTTCCATGCAAATTTTAGTTAAATGTTTAATAACTTAAAATGAAAAATAGAATGAAAATTAAAATGTGGAAAAACTGAATCCAGAAAAAAATAAGTTTTGGGGAAAAAAAAAAAGATTTGATAGGGCCCTAAACATGTTTTCACTGTCAAATAATGAGATGTCTAGCTAAAAAAGTCATAGAGGGCTTTTGCTTTGAATGTATTTCAGAGTATAAAATATCAAAAGCACTTTTCAAGTCCTCGGTCTTAGTTTTGTCTTACCGAAGTCACTGTCAGAAGAGTCCGGTCCGTCTCCTCTGGTCCTGCAGGCCCTCGGCCCAGCGTCCAGCTGACAGGCCTTCGCTATAGACGTCACCAGATACTCGTCCTCGGTGTTCCTCCAGCCCCACCAGCTGATCTCCGGCTGACTGCAGCGGGCGATGACCGCCCCATTACGCTGGTGCCTGACGGGACACATCGCAGAGATCATCAGTCACTGTCAGCTGCGCAGGAGGCCAGGAGACAGACGAGCTGCTTCTCTCACCTGTACACCACCACAGGAATCCTCTTCCAGGACCTGAAGGAGGCCACGCTCTCCAGCTCCTTATCTGTGATCCAGACGGGCACCAGCAGTTTTTGTGGGTAACTCGAACACAACCTACAATGACAAGAGTTAGATGCTGAAACTCACAGACATAAACACAACTAGCGTTAAAGTTGAATTTGTTTATTAACTAATATTATTATTTAACGCCATATCAGCAGCAAAGGGTCTTGCCATTGCAAAACATACTAGGAAGTAATATATAACAATATAATAACAGCATAATATCATAATACCAATAAATATATTATTTGCAGCAATTTAACAATATTCTAACAACAAATATATTAATAAATACAGCAATATCATAAGGTGCTTCAGTTTGATATTTGATATATTTAGACAGATTTTAAAATATGCCTTTATACACAAATAAATAAAAAACTAAAATATTAATATTAATTTAAATATTTATTTATTACCATATTATCAGCAAAGGCTATTCTCGTTGCAAACAGAGTAGTAGAAATTAATACTT